CTTTGGAAGAAACAACACAAATAGGAATTTCTTATAACTGTCTACAAGTCTACAACACAAATAAGAATTTCTTATAACTGTCTACAAGTCTCTGACATCAACTAGGGAGAATTTTTTCCCACTCCTCCGTACAGAATTTTTTCAGCTATGCAATGTTTGAGGGGTTTCTTGCGTGCACAGCATCTTGATGGTTAGAATTAAATCTGGCTTTGACTTGGCCATTCCAGAACCCTCCGCTTCTCTTTTTTCAGCCATTCCTTGGTGGATTTACTGGAATATTCAAGGTCATTGTCATGTTGCAAGGTCCACTTTTGGTTGAGCTGCAATCTTCTGATAGATGGTCTCACGTTATCCTCTAGCACCCTCTGGTACAATGAAGAATTCATAGTGGATTCTATGATAGTGGGCTGCCCAGGCCATGTTGCAGCAAAGCAGTCCCAAACCATGACATTTCCACCACCATGATTTACAGTTGATTTCAGGTTCTTCTGGTGAAATACTATCTTTGATTTTTATCAAACGTGTCTTCTGAAACTATGACCAAATAACTCTATCTTCACCTCATCTGTCCAGAGCATATTGTTTCAGAATTCCTGGTCTTTGCCTAGTGTTCATGAGCAAACTTTAGTCTTTCCCTGATGTTCTTTCTGGACAGCAAAGATTTCCTCCTGGCACACCTCCCACGTAGATCTAATTTGTTCCACTTCTTCCTAATGGTAGAATGGCAAAGACGTATGCTCTTTGACATCAGTAGTGGCAAGAGTTTCCTGTATGCCACATGATGAAATTCTGGGGTGCTTAGAGACTTCTTTCAGCATCTTGCATTCTGCTCTTGGGCTGAACTTGCTGGGACGGCCTGACCTAGGCAAGTTGGCAGTTGTTGAAATCTTCTACATTCATAGATGATCTTCTGGACAGTGAAATGATTAATGCCAAATTGTTTGGCAATCTTTTTAAATCCCTTTCCAGATACCTTTCTGAGGCCTTCAGAAAAAAGGTATCTATAACCTTTTTTCTGAAGGCCTCAGAGAACTATTTCTATCTAGGCATGCTGATACTACATATTTCAACAACAAAGAGCAAATTAAAGTAAATGCCTGAGATAAAAATAAGACAGGTTCCTTCCAGATCCTCTCTAACAATGTTCTGATCATTTATGCCTGATCTGGTACACCTGATTCTAATTTTACATATTTGAAGTAGTGATAAACGTAGGGGTGTACTTACTTTTTCCACATGTGAAATTTGTATTTATGTTTAGTTATAGTACATAATGGACTATAAAATATAAATGATGTTATGTTATAACCTCTTTATCAATATTGTTGAAATAAAGATCAAATATCTGTATGTTGAAATATATTTTAAAAGTCAACAATTTCAATGGGGTATACTTACTTTTTCACATGACTAATTTGCCACTCTGAGGCAGGAAATTATAGAATAAGTTCTACAAAGCCCTTAGTACAACTCATATTATTGTGAAAAAGAAAATTAGAATCATAGTTGAAAGTAGTCTTGCGTCCAACTCCATGCAGGAATCTCAGTTAAAGTATCAACAGCTGAAGGCATGTTGGTCTCTGTTTGAAGACATTCAGTGAAAGAGAATTCACACTTTTCTGGATAAACGCTTCTGCTTCAGACTCCACACCAACCTCTCACCCTTGTCCAGATAGGAAATATTTTCCCAGCCCTGGGTCACAGCTGCTTTATGTCATCAATTCTTCCATTGGAAGTTTTGTTCCTCAGGAATATTAGATGCACCCTGCCATCAAAGAGATGCCGAAGCCTGTCACTTTGTTGTGTACAAACAGTACTGAATATAAGAGAGAGGTTGACAAAATGGAACCTACAGTCCCCCTAGATGGCGCACACTGATCTCCACATTTTTTTTTTAAGAAGGATAAAAGTAATGAAAATGGCTAGAATCTTCTAAATAGCCAAATCCTACAAAACATCTATTCTTGCATAGTCAGGCTATTTTAAATCGTTATATTTTTAAAGTTATTTTTTGTTGTTGTTTTTGTTTGGATTGCTGACCCCTGAGGAAATGGACACTACTGAAAGATGTTGAATGTTTGTGGCCAAAAATCCATCCACTTTTTAATTTAGCTTGACAAGCTGCCTCTCAGGAAAAATTAGCACGATGTGACTTTAAGGTCGTGATCATATTTGTGTGTAGGCCAAGTTTGACTTTGTGTTGTTCGTCAGTCTAAGTGTGTCTTCCACCGTTATATTTCAACAGGTATGCACACTAACCAGAGAAGACAATCGTGAAATTGGCCAAACACCAGAAGATGAACAATTGCATGTGCTTCCCTTGTATAAAATATCCAATGTAGATGAGTTTGGAAGCACAGAAGGTCAGGAAGAGAAAAAGCAGAATGGTAGCATCCAGGTTCTTAGTTCTTTTCGACGAAAAGTAAGGATGCTGGCCGAGCCTGTAAAAACCTGCCGGCAAAGGAAGCTGGAAGCCAAGAAAGCAGCAACGGAGAAGCTTGCTTCCATGGAGAATGGGTCTAGTAAACACGAGAGAGAAAAATCAGCCCCAGTACGTCAAAAACAGGTCAATGCAGAAGCACCAGCTCATGCCAAGCAATTAGCAGGTATGTTTTTAAATAGGCATCTGCTATTGTTTACAGCTCTGTCACATGTACCATATGTGTTATTTGTACTTTGAACATGAGAGATACGAGAGAGGATCACATTGAGATGAAAGCATATGAAAATGGTATATGTCATAGCATGTCACTTGCACACAGTATATACCCCCAGTATGTGATTAAGCAACCATGGCTTAGTTAAACCCTGCTACAGAATCATTCAGTAAGTTGAAACACAGGATCCAATGCTTTCACTTGGTTGTTGAATTTGAAAATTTCAGAATCTTTGGAAGAACGAGTGGCTTATTTAGGACCAGATTAAATGTCATGTTAGATATAAAATCAAATGGATTGAAATCAACGAGGCTCTGTTCCCAGTGCAAGTAACAGTATATTTGCATTAGGGAAGGAGGAATGTTTATTTTTCACCAAGGTCATTACAGAAGAAGGAGGTTAAATAAGTGCAGCTCTGATCAAATTGAACCATGGGAGTGGTTGCTGTTTCCGTTTTAAAATATGCACATGAATGCATTAGTAGCCTTTTTTGTTCTAATACGTTCATCTAATTAAGGTCATGAAGTCAGTTCTTCTCTTTATGAACAAAAATGCTTTCTTATTTTTCTCAATTGTATTTAACAATTTTCTACGTTTAATAATATTCACAAATTTCTCAATAAGTAGAAATCCCTCAAGGATATATGCTTTTTAACTTCTAAGTAATCTTAATTTTTAACTAAGCAGTGAGGTGGCCAAGTTTGCTGATGATATTAAACTATTCAAGGTTTGAAAAACCAAAAGTGAGTTGGATGTGCCTTCCTGACAGCAGGAATTTGATCTAAGCAATAATTAGTGAAACAGGTTTTATAGCTAAAACAGAAAGGAGATTTATTTATAGGAAAAGCTTAGCACATAGCAAGCTACATCCTACCAGAGGAGAATCCAAGAGCATTCACTCCATGGCTGGGAAAGCATGGCCGAGAAGACAGGCAGAAGGAACTGGCATTGGATCAGCAGTCATTTTAACAAAGTTCAGGTTAGGTGAAAGACAAAGAAGGGACACAAAGCAAATTCTTAACTTTATTGCTGCACCCCACCTCCTCTAGATGCAATAGGTCATAAAATGCTGAGGAGTTAGGGCCTCCAACAAAGTATCTATAAAGAGCTCAAGAAGGATATCTTTTGAGTGAATAGGCAATCAAATGACAAATGCAATTAAATTTAAGGAGTGTAAATTGATGCATATTGGGACAAAAACCACTAACTTTACATATACACTGATGGGGTCACAACTAACCAAGAAAAAGATTTTGGAGTCATTGCTGATAGCTCAATGAATATATGGACACAATATGTAGAAGCTTTGAAAAAAAGCAAAATCCATGCTGGGAATTATGAAAAGGATTGAAGATAAAACTGACAACCAACATCATAGTGCCCTTATACAAATTTCTGACTCATTTGCAATGGAAATTTGGAATGCATTAGGGAAATTTATCTATTATATCTGAAGAAGTATATAATATTTTGGAAAAAATGCAGAAGAGAACAATCAAAACTATCAGGGTACTCAAAGAACCTCTTTATGAGAAAAGGCTAGAATGTTTGGGACTTTTTTGTTGGGAGAAAAGGTGACTGATGGGGGACATGTCAATGTGTATAAACAATGAATGGTATGGAGAAAGGAGACAAGGAGAAGTTGTTGTTTTTTAACTTTCTCAAAGCACTAGAGGCAGAGCTCATCCGATATAGCTGATTGGAATGAGATTTACAATAATCAAAAGCAATACTTTTTTGCACAGTTAACCATTTAGAATTCTTTAAGCATAGTGATGACTAGTACTTGGATGCCTTTAAAAGGTAAAAGTAGGGGTGTGCAGTTCTTGAAACCAAAATGGGCAAAGGTGCTTCAGATCTGGCATTGGTCCCTCAGAATACCTGTTGGCAGAAGCTTAAAGGAGTGACACTTTTACCTGGGCCCTCACAGCACCAAGTAGTTGTGCAGGCTCAAGAAAATGCATGGTTGAGTTAAGTAGGTGGCAAGAGGGTGGAAAAGTTTGGTTGTACCCCATTACTACTTCATAATACCTCCTTAGCTCCTTTCCCTGAGCCTGTTTGACTATTGTGAAAGCCCAAGGAAAGGGATGGCTTCTTTAAGGAATTGCCAACAGCTACAGGGAGAATGCCCATGCCAGATTTGAAGCACCTTTGCTTATGTCAGAATCCAAATACTGCATACCTCTAGATAAATGCATGGAGGAGGGCTCAAGGTTGGAGCAAATGTACCTCTGAATACTTGTTTCAAATGAATACCTGTGGCAGTTTCCACCACCTGCTTGCAAGCCCCCCTAAGGTATCTAAGAGACAAAATGGTGGCATCAGTTGGGCCTTGGCCTGATTCAGCAAGACTATTCTTATTTTCAGAGAGGAAAAATCCCCATAATATTCACACTTGGTCTAATTTCCCATCTCTCACGTTTGTGGCAGAATTCAAGTGCCACCAAACAGCACAAACATCTTCCGTGAAAACTAGAATGGGCAACATCTTTCCATAATTGAATTAATTCTATACACATGATAAAGATTTTTTCCAATCTTAAAGCTCTTTCCTTCTCTTTCTTGTGCACAGATCTTTTGCATCTTTCAGGACCAGCTATGTCGCAACAGCAACTTTATCAACATCCATGCCAGGCTCTCCCTTCTAAATCTCAGTCAAATCATGGCAACTCATACTCTGCTTCTGATCCTACCAATCTATATATGAGTCTGTCTAATCCAGCTAATTCATATTCAAACTCTACACATCCTTCTGATCCTTATGGAGGATCCAATCCTGTGAATATCTACCAAACTTCATCACAAGCTACAGGAACTTATTTGAATTCTTCCAGTCTCATGAATCCCTATTCTATTCACTTAGGTCAGAATAATCAGTATCCCCATTATCCATGCAATGGAAGCTTATCAATAGACAACTGTCCTTATTACAGTTCCTATTCTGCTCAATCTCAGCATATGGACTTGTTTAGGTATCAGAGCCAAGATTCTCTGTCTAAACTAAGTCTACCACCAATTCATACATTGTATCAGCATAGGATTGGAAATAATCAGAACTTTGGGCACAGGTACTTGAATTATGGAAACCAAAATGTGCCAGTAGATGCTTTCAACAATTGCACCTTTAGACCAAATGTTCATCATGCAGGTTCTTTCCCACCTTACTCCCAGCATGAGGCTGATAACCCTTTTATGGACATCACCTCCAGGCTGAAATCTAATCTAAATAATCCAGGTGTAGACTTCATGAATAAAAATGGTGATCATCTGTATCCCCTACCACACCTTGCCCATGACTATCACGGCATGTTCAATGGCTCTTCTCATTCCCTCCATCTCCAAAACAAGAATAGTCAAGCAGCTAATGGGTTGTCAAACCTGTTTCCAGGTTTTAACCACAACAGAACTACTTCCCAAACAGGTGTAAATAAAACAGAGGTGCTCAATCCAGAGGATCCTGATGATGTCTGGTCAGACAATGAGCAGAGTTTTCTGGATCCAGATATAGGAGGTGTGGCAGTGGCCCCATCCCATGGATCAATTCTCATAGAGTGTGCTAAACGTGAGCTCCATGCTACGACCCCATTAAAAAGTCCTAACAGGAATCACCCTACAAGGATATCACTTGTCTTCTACCAACACAAAAGTATGAATGAGCCAAAGCATGGCCTGGCTTTGTGGGAGGCAAAAATGGCTGAGAAGGCAAGAGAAAAAGAAGAGGACTGTGAAAAGTATGGTCCAGATTATGTGCCTCAGAAAGTGCATGGTAAAAAAGTAAAACGGGAGCCTGCTGAATTAAACGAGAACCTGGAACCAACCTATTTGCGATTCATCAGGTCCCTTGCACAAAGGACGATGTCTCTTACCACAAATTCCACAGTAACCACATCTCCATATGCCTTTACGCGGGTTACAGGGCCTTATAACAGATATATATAAAAGTCAAATCTTTGTTCATTACCTCATCTTTAAAAAAACTCAGTAATTGCTCCTTTTTAGGTCATAGACGGAGTCAGGGCAAGATACAGTATTTTTCTTTTTGACTTGTCAGTGGGGAAACCTTCTTCATACCAGCAAAAGAGGTAATATTACCACTGCATATGTTTGGAGAGCAGTCACAAGTAACAATTAGAAACTAAAACCAAAGTATCCTATGCAAAATTAATAAGACATAACAACCGGTTAGGACTGAAATAGTGCTGTTACTACTGGTAAAAAAAATGACCATAATTTTTAAAATTTTACATTTGTGACCATTTCCCCAAGAGCAGATTAAGCAAGAGAGTGCTTTTATTTTTAATGATAAAAACTCTGTAGTATTTCTTTTGCAGAAAATATTAAGCTTCTGCCGGGTGCTCAACCTCTGATATACTGAAATGCTTACTGGAAACGTAGCTTTTTAGCATGGAACATTTTCTTTGTTTTTTGGTTTGGGTGTAACTTTAATATAGACCGAGAGTAATCAGGATGGCTACGCTTATAGCAAACGATACAAAGCAAAACACTGAATTGGTTTTGGCTATTCTAAAACATGGTGCTATATACAAAAATGGTGTCTACTGCAACATTGGAACAGTTTTAATGCTTTTTATTAGCACTGGATAGGTTCAAAATAGACCCTGCTCCCCTTAAATTGTAAACAAGACCTTTACATTTGTGTTGGCCTCCAGTTAGCTTGACTTTAAAAAAATAAAACAAAACTACAACTCATTGTTTAAAGCATGGGAATCTTGATGAGACGGGCAAGGTCCAACAAAGCTATCGCATGAACAGTGCAGGGGGAATGCTAAGGGGATGACGAATGCAGCAAAGGCAGCATTTTAAACTAAGAAACCCTCTGCCTATTCAGCCGTAGAAGAACCAATCCTCTACACTTCCACGGTTGAGTAGTGAAATTGAGGGTATCTTTCAAACAAAACAATCTTAACCGTAGGTTGGCAATGGGGGCGGGGGGTGCATCTTTTTTGGTCCACCTACAGGAACTCTTGAAATGTTAGGACCACATCTTAGGTGTACCCATGAAATAGTTGCTATAGAACAGGGTTCCTCAACCTTGGCAACTTTAAGATGGGTGAACTTCAACTCCCAGAATTCCCCAGCCAGCAAGGTTCAGTTCAGTTCAGTTCCCCACCCATCTTAAAGTTGCCAAGGTTGAGGAAC